GCCCACCATGGGTATCAAACACCGGTTTTAGCGTTATGGGCAAGTGTGGGGGATACAGGTATAGATGCCATTCTGGCTATTTTTGCATGGCTTTACTGTCCTTACCGCTTCCTAAGGCCCTGCATAAGCGAGTATTGGTTTGTATCCGTTCAGAACTAGGTACAAAATTTGCTATCTAAAATGGACAGACGTGTTATACGTTTTAAATTATTTAACAACAGAGTTTGTTTAAACTTTAGCAAAAGTCACCAGCAGAAGTCAAGCTGTGAAAAAAAACAGAAAAAGAAACAGTTTGTTGTTTAACTTGAAATTTGCTTGCCAGTCAAACAGACGTTAGAGAACCAGAGAAAGAAACACACGTGCACCACGGAGGTTACACAAAATCAATACTGAAACAAGCTGGGTAGAGGCAGACAGGCTCGTGTCGTTCACGTGCACAATTTCATTCTTAGAAAACTTGTCGTAGTCAGTCGTTCAGAGAAGACTTGCAGAAGTTCAACTCGTACACATTTCTGAGATTTCCTCGGATATTGGACTCTCTTGTAAGTTGTGGTCACTCCTGCAGGCGTTTAGTGTATGCTATACCTCTCATCTAACTCATTCGCTGACCACAAAGTTGTTACTTTGTTTATTTCACAACATTAGAGATTAAAATTTTTTATAAGCTGAAAAGTTTACATTTTGAATGAGTTGTTTCTATATAAACCTGTAAAATGTCTCCTGTACGTTTTAAGTATACCATGCAGGGAAGACACACGGGCTGAAAAAGAGCTTAGTTTAGGGGTCGTTCGCAAATTTCAACCATTCTCATCCAGATCGCTTTTAAAAAAATAAAATAAAAATGGCGTATTGTGTTATCGTTAAGTAATCCGATTTGGTGCAACTGTGGGTAACGTAGGTGTCTTACCCTCCTTAAAATGGCGAAATTTGTGAACTACCCCTCAGCGAGTGCTAATTTCTTTTAGGGAAGGGTTAGTAATCTACACCTTGTCTATATATAGAAACAGCTGCAAGCCTTTTTTAACTACTGGAGTTCTGCCCATTTTTATAAAAAAAAAAAAGTTTCTGTAACTCATATTCAGTTTTCTCTATCATAAATAAAACCAACAAATTAATCGATCTTTTACAGCGATTATTAATTTGTTAGTTTTCTGGAAAAAAAAATCAATCGTTTCGCTTCTTTCTTTTTTTTATGGTAAACTCGTATTATAATTGTTCGACATGTCTAAGTTATAAAAAAATTGTATCGAAAAAGGTTATAATTAATCTTTCACTTCGTCACACGCAATGCAATACCGTAGTGACGTCAACTGAAAACACGAATCGCGAGTCCCCCTAACGAAGTTACTGTTATGACGTCATTTAAAGTTGTGGAAATCGAAGAATTCCTGTGCACAGTTGATAAGTTTTCAAAACAAAGTCTTTACTTAATATTCAAATACGCATTTAATCCGGTATTTAAATATCACATTTAACTTTTATGACATATTATTAAGAACTTGCGAGTGAAATTAAAGATGTTTCCATTAAGAGTAGGCCCATAACACGTTATTTGAAATTTGGAACCTCAAACTCAGATTATCACACAACGCGTGGCAATTTTGTGCATTAAAAATATATACTACATAAGACATAAGCTTGCAGCTCCAGAAGTATTTCTGTTATTGTCCTTTGTCCAAAGAACATGTGTTAACATCTTCTTGCCCAGAGCTTTTAGCTCCAAAGGTATCTATGTTATTGGCATTGTCCAAAGAACATGTGTTAACATCTTCTTGCCCAGAGCTTTTAGCTCCAAAGGTATCTAT